ATATCAATATTTGGGAAACAAACGGGAAAAGCAAAATAGAACAGTAGCCCAAAAAGGCAGGATATTTTAGCTTTACATGTTCTTGCTTTCTTTGGGGAAAATGCTGTAAGTGAATTTTCTTTTGGTCTCCCTGAGTAAACGCTATTTTGTTTTGGAAGATCCTTATAAGCTCTAAAAGAAGCTACACTGCCGATCTTCCTAACTTAAGTTTAAAAATAAACACGTATTGTGTTTCAGTGTTGAATATAATGTTGATTGAATTAAGTCAATTTCAAACTTTTGCAAAAAAACTTCCAAAGACTATACATATTTGAATATTGTCTAAGAAAAGAATTATTGTCTAAGTGTCAAATTCAATATATTTCTAAATAAATGGCAGATTTAATATTGGATCAGAATATTCTACCTAATTTGGAAGGAAGAAAAGTGAGAATAACAAATACTTCTAGCCACTGGCATTATAAAACTTTAAAAAGGAAAAACAACAGTTGATAAAAATTGATACGATTGTTCATGCAACCAACCAGAAAGTGTTTGTTGCATAACATTTGTGAGTGCTAGAGAATCTAAGTATTTGGGAAAATGAAGCTGTCCAAGATTAAGGACCTGGGCATGCACTCAAATACAATCATATTTGAAGGGCCAGTGGTGGCAGCTTACTGGAGAGCTAAAAATTATAAAATACATTATTCAGTAGTAAAATAATTATTTTTAATAAATATGATTGAATATTGGTAATTTCTTTTTGTTCAATCTTATGTATACACTTGAGGACTAAAATTCTTATAAAGGACCTCCTTATTGGGTAAATGAAAAATCAGAGGGAAACTGGTGCATTTAAAAAAGAGAAAGGTACAGAGCAGTGCTGATTTACGAACCACATTTTTGTGGGATATATCCACTTTAGTGTAGTGGTGGGAGTGAATCATTACAAAAAAAATCTTGAGCTAATTCCTACAATTCTTTTTATATTTTCATGAGATGATTAATTGATTTCATGGTTACTCTGAGCCAATCACTTATTCTTTCATTTACTCAACAAAAGTTTGCTGAGGTTCCAGTGAGTATTAGTAACAGTGGAAAGTACTAGAGATATATTAATGTTTTATCATACTCTGGTTAGTAACTCAAAAAGGAAATGAAAATGATGGTATAGTATGTAAACACTATAAGGCATATATTAAACTCTCTCTCTCTCTCTTGGGGCTTCCCAAGTGATGCAATAATAAAGAATCCACCTGCCAATGCAGGAGATACAAGGGATGCAAATTTTATCCTTGGGTGGGAAAGATGCCATGGAATAGGACAGGAAATGGCAACCCATCCCAGTATTCACACACACAAACACACATGGCCTCCTTCGATTTCTCATGAGCTTAAAACCCTTCCTCTTGTAATGAAAGCAAATTGATGTATCTTACTCATGATTTTGATAAAATTTTGTACCATAAATCTCTCTTTGTCTAAATCTGCTTACCTATTTGTTTGTACTGGCCTTTCATTTTGGAATAAAGAAGAAAAGAAAGGAAGGGAGAAAATAAAAGAGGGAGAGAAAGAAAGAAAAGAAATAGTGCTAATAAATATATGTTATTAAGCTCTAAGAATCTATTTGTTTTCTGCTGTGGAAAAAAACCCCCAAAAAATTTGATCTTGAATGATAACCATATATAGTAGAAAAAATACAAAATTTAGAGTCGTAGGGCCTGAATCACAGTTGTGAAATGTTGCAAATCATTTATCCTTTGTAGGGTAGTTGTTACCAGGATGAGATGAAGTGACACCTTGTACTGTGGCCCAGCACATGGTAGTTTTTCTGTAAATGCTGGAATCTGCTCCTATGATGCCTAGATTAAGGTAATTGTAGGAGGCCTAAATTGAGATTTAGTGCTGTTAGAATCACTATTTGTGGCCTTATCCACTTACCTATACATGATCTACATCTCTATTTACCTTGCTAAATTGGTTTCCAGTCATCAAAAGAATTGACAGTACTCCTAAATCTCCAATAAAATGATTCATTTCATCTTGGCTTAAGAACACACACTCAAGACCTTTGACAAATGACTATCTGTAGCCCTAGTGAATGCCTTCCCTCACTAGGAGACCAGCCCAAACTGACTTGCTATCTCTTAGCCTCAGTCATCATTCCAAATTTCCTGGATGAAGAACCCAATTACTTACTTAGAAGACTGATTTTCTGATTGATTGATATAGAAACAAAACAATGTCTAACATAAAATAATTCATAATAAAAGTATATGCTAGCAACTAGTAGAGAAGTCACTGTTGTACTATTATTATTATGCCTATAATTGCTAGTTTACTATTGCCTGGGTCTAAGACTAAGTACGTTATTAAGCACTCTGTCCTTTATAATCTAAGATGTAACACTTCCAGTCAAAGAAAAAAGTACAACTTCATCAATATATACAAATATATATGACATATATTTTTATATATAATATATATTAAATATATAATATATATTTATATTTTATATAAATATATAAGATATGAAAATATATTAAAATATATATAGAAAACCACCAAATCCCATGGGAAAAGAAGAGTAACTAATTCTTCAGTGTTGATAAATAAGAATATTTAGATGCCAGGTGCCTTTTAGAGGCATCTAGAAAAATGATGCCCAGCGTGATTTGGGAAGCCACTGCCCTGTAATCTGCTAGAGCATAGAGCCTTGCATTAGAAGCAATCACCCACTTTTCTGTCAGAAACTATTGGGATCTCCTACCATACTTCCCATCCCAGTTTTACATGTTCACTGCTGGAAATGCAAGCCTTCTCTTTGCCTTTTTTCTTGAAATCTAGTCTGAACGTCAACCTCCTCAGCTTCCTACAAACATCTTCTGTTCTCAATTAACTTTTCCCTATTTTCAGCTTCATCTTTGCCACCTCCATGATTTAACTGAAGCAAGATGTTTCTTAAGTCACTGCTCCCCTGACCTCCTTTTTCAGTGGGAGCAACTTGTTCACTACAACTCAGTAGTTAAATTTCAGAAGATGCCCCAGTCCCTAGGCCTTCTTCAAGGCTCTGGATTTGTCACATGAAACCTCCTTTGAGGCCCATAATCTCAAATGGAGCACCCTCTCTCCCTCCTATTGCTGCTCTCTGTCAGTCATTGAAAACTCTAAATCTTGGCTCAAGATCTTTCATTATAAAGCCCTAAATTTTTCAACTTCCCTTCCAGTTTTCTGGCCACCTGTTTGGTTCTATCAACTTTCTGTAAGAAAGATGGAATAATGACAGATGAAAAATTAGCATAAATAACCACATGGCATACGCGAGTCCTAAGTGCCAGAGGGGAGTTCCCTATAAAGACATAAAGCTTAACTCAAATAATCAAAATTTGATTCTGCGCAATGATGAAATGTGGAATGTCAAAAAACTCTCAGTGTTTATTAATGTACAAATAGTTCCACCTCTCCCCATGACTCCTAAAAATAACGGCCTTTGATTCTCCCTTGTTACCTTTGCTTATATATTCATTAAACAACAGCAATGGCATTCATTATCCTCTTGCTATTTCACAACTGGTGAGCCATTTTCTTGGTGATATGGGAACATGTCTGCATAGAATGTCAGTAACTTTCACCCACTCACTGTGCCAGGTAAGGCCATTTAAAGCCATCTTGTGGGTAAGCCAACAAATATATAACAAAGAGCTGTTCTTGCTTTTACGTATTATTTACTAAGAAAGAAATGTTGGCATTTAATTTTTTAAAAATGAAGTCAACAGCTCACGCTAAAACTCTGCTTCTTAATCATAACTTCTTTCCTCCCTATTTTGCAAATTTTTCTGTCATGAAAATCTTTTATGTCTGTGCAGAATCCATTGACTCCATTACACTCTCTCCATTTCTCAATGTGCTTCATTCTTCATTTTTTTCCTTTTCTTTAACTCAAATTGTAATGAACTTTTTAAAATAATTATTTCCTTGCAAATACCCTCAGTTTTCCACCCCATCTTCCTCCATTGCATATACCAATAAAAATTCTTATTCTGGATGAAACTAGGTAATGTTTTATTTGATCTCTCTCATGGATAAGCCACTTCCTGTCTACTTGATCAAATAGAAACTGGGGTTGGGAGGCTTTCATTTGAAAGACTGAGAATTTCTGCTATTGCACCTGCTTCCTGTTTTTTGTATTCCATCTAAATGGATTAGTGTCCCTCCTGTTGAAGTCGCAAGTTCTGCTCCCTCAGTAGTAATATGTCATCCGAAGGTGGTTTCTTTTTTGCTGTTTGTTGTTCCAGTCTGGCTTTAGCATCTGCTCTTACTTTGTATGCTATCTCTCCTCATTTTCTTTCAAGCACTTCTGAGGGCAACTTTGGGGAGAGTTCAGAGTACTTTGATTTTTGGCAGGATTAATGTAAATCTCATTTACATTCATGGCATTCTTTCCATTTTCTTTTACTTATGGGACAATGTTGGAAGCTGTATAAGCATTCCCCCAGCACCTTTACATTTTATCTTGTTTTTCAAGGAATTTCTGATACATTCCTAAGTTAGCTTTTCAGCATTCAGGTTTTACTAAAAAACAAAATTTTGTCAAAAATGTGTTATAAACATACATTTTTGTAATTTCCATTACCCACAAATGTTTGAAAAATTGAATGCTGATTTGAGACAATTTTCTTAAATATTCATTTCCCTTGAATGTGCTTTATTATGGTTTTGAAGCTCTTGACTCTATTCATTAACACAGGTTAGCATTCCTTATCCTTGCCTCACATGATTCCATACTCCATTTGTTTTTCTGCCAGATTTTGAAGTTTTCAGCTAATGTTGGGTGGACTCGATGCAAATTTTTTAAAAAAAGTCCTGACTCTGGAGTTGTAAGTATTTCTGGGAAAAAAAAAAAAAATAACCACAAAGCATTTAAAATGGTTACAGTCTAAAGTCATGCTAACCAATCTTATTTGGATTCTAAAAGCTACTCTATATTCTTTTACTCACATTTTGCACATCAGCTGTTCCAGTCATCTTGCCTCAACATATACAATCGGGGCCATGTATACATGGGCTCCTCATCCATGGATTCAACCAACCTTGGATCGAAAATATTCAGAAAAAAAAATGAACCAAAACTTTTCAGAAAGTTCCAGAAAACAAAACTTATTTTACTGTGAAGGCAATATTTACATAGCAGTTACATTGTGTTAAATATTACAGGGCTTCCCAGGTGGCGCAGTGGTACAGACTCTGCCTTGCAATGCAAGAGACAGATCCCCTGGGGTAGGAACTGACAACCCACCCCAGTATTCTTGCCTGGAATTTCATGGACAGAGGAGCCTGACAGGCTATAGGCCATGGGGTCGCAGAGAGTTGGACATGACTGAGCACAACAGCAAGCACAAAATATTACAAGTACTCTAGAAATGATTTAAAGTATATGAGAGGATTGTGTAGGTTATATGTAAATATTACACATTGTATCAATGTATAAGAGACTTGAATATCTTTGAATTTCAGTATCTTCAGGGTGTCATAGAACCAATCCCCTATTGAGAGATACTGAAGAATTACATACTATATCACATATCTTTGAATAGTTACTTTCAACTCCTAGTGAACTGAAAATCTGGATGAGAATTAACCTCAAGTCTTCCCCTATTACGTAAATTCTCCCTATATATAGCCACAATTAGTTTTTCTCTTTTTCTTTCAATATCAAAGTAAGAACAAAACAAATAAACAACAACAAAAAACACTTCTTTTCAAGACAAGTCCTTATATTTGTGTTAATGATATTAGGATATTCTCTAGAGTCCTTCAACAACTACCTTCTTTGTCTGTCGTATGTATTTATTCTACTCAAATTTTTCCCATCAGTCTTCAAGAATTTCAGCTTTTCCTTATACTAGCACTTCCTATACCATGATTCCACCTCAATCTAGTCCCTATTGTCTAATTTTCTGAATTTCTATCAGCATAAATTAACAAGGTTGAAACTTTTCCTTTCAATTACTCCTCTCACTTGCCTTCTACAAATCTGAAATCTCTGTCCTGTCTTTCTAACTCGGATCTTTTTCTTTAATTTGCCCTCTCATTTTTGCCTCCACTATATTCTCCCCCCTTACACATTTTAGTTTGGCAAATTCAAACAGTTCCCATTATTTCAACTTTCACTTTTGTGCCAAAGACTATTAAAACTATCTCTAGATGTGTCTCACTTCCTAATTCTCTGACTGGTGTTTTGACAACATTATGAAATGTTTCTTATGGGAGATCTGGAGAACTTTCAAGCTCTACATGTCTTTCCTTCACAACTGTTCCTCTTCCCTGTTTCCAATTCTCAGACAAGACGACAACCATTCTTTCTTTATTCATGCAATTAATTCCTTGAAACCATTGTTCTGTTTTCACACTATCTTTGCATCTATCCCTCAGTTTTTCAGTAGTATGTGTTAGGTCCTTATTATCACTTGCAAATAGTGTTATGTCTATTCTTCAACTAAAACCTTAAATGACATACTAAAAACAAGACAAGACCAAAACAGGATAGAAGTTAAAAAAAATAATTTAAGCAAAATGTCATTATTTCAACTGGGAATCTCACTTCATTCCTAAACTTCAAATTATCAACACTCTCATTATTTCAGAGAAACTTGAAAGCAACTTAAGTATGACTCTTAATTTATTTTCCTGTATAAAACACAGGTTAGCTACTTAAATACTATCATAATGACATCATTTTTTAAATGGCAGACAACACAAAGCAGCCGAATAAACATCTTCTTGCTTCTTTCCCAAGGAAATCTCTTCCTAAAGCAATTTTCTTTATATAAGTTGACAAAAATGGGTATTTTAGCTCCTACTTTTTTCTTATTTCTTTCTCTTTCCCTTCATCCGGAGTTAAAAAGAAAGCATATATTTTTAGTACGTTGCACTTCTAGTGAGAGAAGAAAGATTGAATTTTGTGGGTAGACACATGGGTTGTTTTCCTGAGACAGCAGGACGGACAAGGAGAAGTCGCAAACTCCTCTACACCCTCACCTTTCACATCTGTGTCCCACTGCAATTCTGCGCTGAGTGCACCTCAAAATGTAGAACTTTCAGGGGAGGAGGAATTGCTGTAGTTCATCTGCTCAAGAAGGCTAAGAATTCTGAACCTGAGAGGCAAAAGTAGAAGGAGAATAAGAGGCAGTGAGAGCGAAATAATCATTTCACACTGAAAAGATGTCACGCACATGGCCCAGCATAAGTACAAATGGGAGAGCCAATATAAGTGAAGAGCCACAGCAATGATACTGAGAGCTGAATTCCCCCCGAGATACCACATGATATATGAACTTAGGAGTGTGAACTGCAGTAATGATTCAGAAAGTAAGTTTCTTTGTTTGATCTATACTGGGGGAAAAGAGCTGGATACTAGAATGTCATTAATGGAAAAACTCTATTACTAATAAGTCTTTCTTCAGAACTCTTTTTACCAAGAATTCAAGCATCCAATAAAAGCATCCAATGACTAGGTTTTTCCCCAAAAAATGATAGTTAAATGGTCATCTTCTTTTAAAAAATAATTTTTTATACTTAAAACCTGGTAGTGGTACAGTCTGCCAGACTTCCACTGCTGATAGGGGATGTCGCAGAGGGCAAACTAAGTAATGTCTGCATATCAGATCACTGGTCTAGCTGCTTGTCTTTACCCCACAGAAAATGGAAAATGCTTTAATAACTTATTTATTCTTATATGTCACCCACAGTGTCTAGCACACTGTCTTAGATAACAAATGTGCTCATACAAAATTATTTCACCTAATTATTTGATGTTTTCAAAACTCTAAAGATGAATTTATTCATAGTAATCACTGCAGAAATGAAATTCAAAATGAACTTTCTGTGACATTGTATATTTCTATATCACTGTGTGTAGTGCTGAAACTTTAGATAGGAATGCTTGGGGGTGGGTTAGTAAATTTTATATGGCATTTTGTTGCTGCCGTATCTGAAGACAGATAAATATACGGCCTTACTTTTATATACCCAACAAGTTCTTTAAATTGTCAGTTTTGTTGTTCAGTCACTAAGTCGTGTCTAACTCTTTGTGATCCCATGGACTGCAGCACAACAGGCTTCCCTGCCCTTCACTATCTCTTGGAGTTTGCTCAAACGTACGTCCATTGAGTCAGTTATGCCTACCAACCATCTCATCCTCTGTTACCCCCTTTTCCTCCTCCCTCAATCTTTCTCAGCATCAGGGTCTTTTCCAATGAGTTGGTTTTTTGCATCAGGTGGCAAAGTATTGGAACTTCAGCTTCACCATTGGTCCTTCCAATGTCAGGGTTGATTTCCTTTAAGACTGACTAATTTGATCTCCTTGCAGTCCAAGGGACTCAGCATAAGACAAATACAGATAAATAGAACTCAATATTATTTAGTTTTTAAAATATAACTATTTATGAGAAGACTATATAAATATACACTGAATAAATATAAATGATTTATAGAGGGCTTATGTCTAAAAGGACTAAAATTAACTTTTTAATTCTATGTAAGGGCTTTCCAGGTGGCGCTAGTGGTAAAGACCCACCTGCCAAAGCAAGAGATTAAGAGATGCAGGTTTGATCCCTGGGTCAGGAAACTCCCCTGGAGGAGGGCATAGCAACCCACTCCAGTATTCTTGCCTGGAGAATCCCATGGACAGAGGAGCCTGGCGGGCTACTGTCCATGAGGTAAAAAAGAGTCAGACTCAACTGAAGTGACAGCACAGCATAGCACACATTCTGTGTAAATCCATTAACTTTCAAAACCTCTGAACTTTTCAGTTTTCCAAATGTGGCTCTGAATGTGTCATTTCAGTTACCACATATTTCTTGTTGATACTACTATTTTGACTTCATTTGCTACTGGGTTTATTCAATCATTTATTCAGCACATATTTACTGTTTCTTTTTTTCGTATAGGCCACATTATGTGTGCATGCATTATTGCTAAGTCTCTTCAGTCGTGTCCAAAATTTTGTGACCCTGTGGACTGTAGCCGCCAGTTTCCTCTGTCCAGTGGGAGTCTCCAGGCAAGAATACTGGGGTGGATTGCCATGCCCTCCCCCAAGGGATCTTCTGACCCTGGGATCGAACCCAAGTCTGACATTTCCTGCATTGGCAGGCAGGTTCTTTTCCACTAGCGCTCCTTGGGAAACCCATGATGTGTATGTTACTAAATTTACAGATTTGGAAAGATACCTTTTCTGCCCTTAGATATTACAGTTCCGGCTGGAGTCAGACATGCAGATAACTGTAATGTGTTCACTGCCCTGCTGGAGATGGCAGGACACAATGAACCAGCAGACGCCTGTGTCAGGCTGCTTAAGGCTGGGGTGTATCATGGAGAAGTCCACACTTGAACTGAGATACACAATGAGTAGGATTTTAACAAACTTATTCAAGGCAAGCTATCACAAGGAAGGGTTATCCAGAGGAAGCTCTACATAAGGGCTCCTAGCCAAGGAAGGGGGAAAATTAGGCTGAAATATGGCTGTCTATTCATTGAAAAGGCCATCTTCCCTGCAGCACAACAAGCTGAATCCATTAGAGGTCCTCTTGCTAATTCATTTGTTCAGAGCAAATGCCTTCTTCTAATCCATCTGCCTAGAGCAGACATTTTAAAATCATGTGTAGCAAGGCAAGCTCTGTGCTACTGGAAACCATAGTCAACTCTTTGAAAGGGCATGGAAGGGCATGGAAGGGCACGGAGACAGCAGAGACTGGTAGTTTGGTGAATGAGAAATAGTGAGGGACAGAAGGACAATAAATGATATGAAATTCAGCAGCAAAGAAGTAAAGGAATGCTGGAATTTAAATATATCCATTCAGGACAGGAATAGAGACACAGATGTAGAGAATGGAATTGTGGACATAGTGACGGAAGGAGAGGATGTGATGAATTGACAGAATAGCGTTGAAACATATACATTACCATGTGTATAATAGCTAGCTAAGTGGGAAGTTGCTGTATGGCACAAGGAGCTCAGTCCAGTGCTCGGGGATGACCTAGAGAGGTAGGATGGGGAGTAGAGTGGGAAGGAGGTTCATGAGGGAAGGGATGTATGTACACTTATGACTGATCCGCATTATTATACAACAGAAACCAACACAGCATTGTAAGGCATTATCCTCCAATTAAAGATACATTTAAAAATGGAAAAGCACAAAAATAAAAATATTCATTGAATTTGGCAAAGGGTTGAGATTGATGGACATAACTAGTATGGCGGATTCAGTGGAGTGGTGAGGGGTAAAGCTGCTTGCAGCATGTAGTGAAGTGGTCATAGTGAGGAATTAAGAGACAGCAAATACAGAGAGAAAGAGAGAGAATGAGAAAGAGAAAGAGTGCGCTTCAGGGGAAAGGCTCAGTGAACACTTATGTTCAGATACACTTGTGTGACAATCACTCAGTTCAAGAGTTAGAACATTTCCAGCTCCTCAGAAGGTTCTGTTGTGTCTCCATTCAGTGATAACCTCCCACTTCAAGAAGACAACCACTATACTGATCTCTATTGCCATGGGTTATATTTGCTTGTTTTTCAGCCTCATACAAATGGTATCATGTAAAACATACTATTTTGTATCTAGCTTCTTTCTCTCAAGCATTGAGTGCAAAATTCACCCCTGTTGTTGCATGTAACTATAATTTGCTGTTTAGCATTTCATTATATTCAATTGTATGGATATACTTGAAAATGTATAACCACTTTTTTAGTCCTATTGTTGAAAAGTTCTTCATTGTGACTACCAGTTTTCAGTTATTACAACCTTTGCTGCTATTAACACTCTTGTGCATATATTTTGGGAGTGTGTGCCTATTTCTCTTGAATGTATGACTAAAAAGTGAAAGTGAAGTCATGTCCGACTCTTTCTGACCCCATGAACTGTAGCCTACCAGGCTTCTCTGTCCATGGGGTTTTCCAGGCAAGAGTACTGGAGTGGGTTGCCATTTCCTTCTCTAGGGGATCTTCCCAACCCAGGGATTGAACTTGGGTTTCCCGCATTTTGGGCAGACACTTTACCCTCTGAGCCACCAGGGAAGTCTTATGTCTAAAAAAGAAGTTGTTAAATCCTCCTGTAGACATACATTTGGCATTAATAAAAAAGCATAAAGTTTTCTAAAGTTGTACTAATTTATATTCCATCAACAAAACAGTTGCTCTGTATCTTTGTCAGCACTTACTGTTTTCCATCTTTTTCATTTTAACCAGACAGTTATATACTCTAATTCACTGTAATTTTAAGTTGCATCTTTCTGAAACCTAATTATTTTATCATTCTTTTGTGAAATACACATTCAAATCTTTTGACCATTTTTTTACTTGGTTTTCTGTCTTTTTATTGGTTTGTTCAAGTTCTGTATGTGTTCTGAGTGTCTTTTTCAACATGTGTAATACAAATATATTTTTCCATAGTATGACTTGTCTATCTCTTAATGGTGTTTTTAAGAGGAGAAATTTTAATTTTACTTTTAACAAAGTTCAAATTACTAATGCTTTTATGTAATATTTACTATATTTTTCCCAGTTCAAGATTATGGAGATAGTTGCCATTTTTTTCTAGAAGCGTCATTGTTTTGCTTCCTACATAGAAGTCTACAATCCATCTGTGATTGATTTTTGTTCGTAATATCATGTATGGATTAAGTGTTTTTCCCATATAGAGATCCCAAGGAACCAACACCATTTATAGAAAAAAAGTCCTTCACAGCTGTTTTGCAGATGGCAGTATGTGAATATATCTGTTTAGCATTGTATATGTTGATTTCTTTGTCTTTTTGTCTATTCTTGCATCAGTATAATACTATCTTAACTGCTGTAACTATAGTTTATAGTAATTCTTTAAACCAGGTATCATAGTCTTCCTTTACTGATGACTTTTCAATATCATATTAGCTATGCTTGGTCCTTTGCTTTTCTGTATAAATAATAGAACATTTTTTGGTCTGCACATATAATTTCTGTGGGTGGTTGTATAGATTCTTTAACATAGTTGAGATAGAACTGACGTGTTAAAAGCAGTAAATACTCCTACTTGTGAACATTGAATCATTTATCCAATTTACATTTTATATAATTACTATATAATTTTATGAAATTACAGTATCTTTTTACATCTTTTTGTTTTATATTTATTTCATATTTTTGTTCTATCATTTCTCTTTTATTACTTTCTTTGATTATTAAAATATTTTAATCCCATTATCATCATTTATCAGTTTGATACACATTTGCTTACTATATCAAACCAGATAAATATGTTTTGCATACTTAAAAAGAATAAGTAATCTGCCACTGTTGGATATAGTGTTTGATATAGGATAATTAGTTCAAATTGATTATTTGTGTTTCTCAAGTCATCTTTAATCTTACTATCTTATTTTCTGCTCTTCGTTCTCCATTACTGAGACAAGTGAATTTAACTGTCTAAATAGGATTGTCAATTTGTCTAATTCTATTTTTGTTGTTATAAATTTCTGTTCTATGAATTTTGTGACTGTGGTAGATATATGTAAATTTAGAATTACTCTCTCCTTTGAATTTACCTTTCTCAAAATCAAGTGCTTATCATTGTATCTTGAAATACTTTTGCCTTAAAGCCCACTTTATTCTACAGTTAAGACAGCTGTTCTAGCTTTTTTCTGTTAGGGTTTTTATGCTTAATATTCTTCTTAAATCTTTACTTGCCCTCATATTTAACATATGTTTCTTATGAACAACATATATTTGGATTTTGCTTTTTTTTTCAGTCTGACAGTCTTTTGCATTTAACTGTATTATTGATATTTATTCAATTTACATTTTGCATAAGTACTAACAGTAATTTAAAAATCTTTTTTCTTAGTTTCCTTTCCTCCTATTGTTATTTTGTCCTTCATCATTTCTCCTTTATTTACTACTTTAAGATTATTCCAGTATATTTTATTTTATTTTTCTCTTTTTCTAGTTTCTTGTTGAAATTTTATTAAATATTATCTTAGTAGTTACTAGGTGAATTACAACATGCATGGTGTGTATCATGTGAATGCTTTATTCCTTTTTATTGCCAAATAATGTTTCATTTCTGCAGTTCCCTCTTCAGTAGGATTTTTCTTCTCCAGTACTAGCTACTTTGGCAGCCCCTAACTAATATTTTTCTCCTCAGCACAGAGAATCTGCCTCCCTTCAGAGGAATTTTATTTTTCTATAACAAAAAGTTGTGAATTACCCCTGGTAAAAAGCAGATGTTAGTGAAAAACTGACTTCTGTGTGGCCTCTTCCTTTCAAAATTATGGTTCCTCAAATCCTCCTTGCATTAGTACTATAATGTTTCTAAACAGTGTATGTATTTTGTTTGACTTTTGTGGTGTGTCTAGTGGAAAATTAGTTGATATGAATAACACTATTAAGGCTTAAACTGGAAATTAATCTCTTTCTATAAGTTTGATTAAAAAAACAGAGTTGTATAAAGATAGCTAGAGAGGAGAGTGAGTTGGAATGTGTGTGAAGGTGGACGATATGTCAGCATGCTTGTGTACTAAAAGATTCAGTGGACAATGAAAGGTCGAGGACTCAGAAATCAAGAGCTCATGGGAATAAATTAGCATTGCATTAGAGGAGAAGCTTTGTATAGGAAGAATTCCTGAGATTGGTGCCAATGCTAATAGGTATACAAATGGAAGGGAAGAAAATTGAGGTAGTTCATGTAACCTCCATTTTCTATGTGAAATAAAAATAAAAGTCATTGTTTTGAGTAGGAGAGGAGTGGGAAACCAAAGAAGTCTCAGAATAATAATGAAGCTTTAGAATACATGCTGGGATGATTACAGAGGAAGCTGGCCAGAGACATTTAGCAGGATTCCTGGGCTGTTTTGAAAGGCAAGCCAAACATCAGGCAGATATTATCTTTTACTGCTGCATCTCAAATTTAAGAGGCACCTCTGGGGCCAAAGAGCTTTCACCTTTGTTGTCTCACCTTGAACCTAGGTTATGGTCATATGGGAATCTATTGTGAGAACTTTATGCACTGGAACCTACCGGTTCTATTTCTTGAGAGTTATTTACTGGAAATTCTGTGAGTTAAATTCAGGATGTAGCTAGGAGATACAGAGAACAATGGCCATGTTAGTGTCCCCTTTGGGCCATGTAACTTCACAGTATTTATTCCTCATAAAGGAACATGTTGGATGTAGTCTCAGTATATCATCCTTTTGACTTCCCTGATGGCCCAGATGGTAAAGAATCTGCCTGCAATACAGGAGACCTGGATTTGATCACTGGGTTGGGAAGATTCCCTGGAGAAGTGCATGGTCACCCACTCTGCATTCCTGCCTGGAGAGTCCTATGGACAGAGGAGCCTAGTGGGCTACAGTCCATGGGGTCGCAAAGAGTCAGACACGACAGAAGCAACTTAGCACACACCTATCATTAAAGGAGGGATGTTACACAGTGACACAGTCATCCATTAGAGGACCACTTTCCTCAGACCTTCCCATCACAGTACACCCACAAGAGCCCAGCCAGTCTTTATTGATCTAACTCCTTTAAGTTTATTATGTCAGAAGTAGAAGATTAAATCTGATCATTAAAGCACTTTTCTAATTATCATGAGCTCAGTGACTTTATCCTGCTTATCAAGATAACGTTTAGAAATAATAGAAATCAACATATCATGCTGGCAATGTCTTACTAACGAATATAATACTATATTTCATTCACCAAGAATAGTGTTAAACTAACTCAGTATGATTCTTTCTCTACACATGAGGATTTAGTCACAGACATTGTTGCATAACAAATGCAAAATATCTCAAAATCCAGTGACTTAAAGGAGCAATCCTCTAATATTATTCACATGTCAGTGGGCCAGCTGGGGTCAATTGCTCTGGGATATGTCTATCTAGGACCTGGATTCAATCCCTGGGTTGGGAAGATATCCTGGAGAAGTACATGGCCACCCACTCCATTTTCCTGCCTGGAGAATCCCATGGACAGAGGAGCCTGGTGGGCTATAGTCCATGGGGTTCCAAAGAGTCGTCCGTGACTGAGCGACTAAGCACAATATAGCACATGTCCATCTAGACAACTTCACTCAGCATCCTTTTATAATCAACAGGCTACCCAAGGTATATTCTTTTGGCAACGACAACAGTGCAAGTCAGGAAGCAAAGAGAGACATGTGTGAACTTGATTCAGGCATGAAACTAGCAAACTATCACTTGAGCCTATTTATCGTTGGCCAAAACAAGTCACATCTCCAAACTCAAAGTTAAGGAACAGAAAGGTATGCTTATCTATGATGAGGCCATGGCAAAATATTCTGAATCAAGGAGTGAAAAATGAGGTAATAATGAAACCTACCACACATACTGGTGTTCTTTCCCTACCTTCCCTGCCAATTTCTCGTACACGTCCCTGGGAGGGAGCTTCTAGAAAGTTACTCATCCTATTTGTGTATGGATAAACTAAGTTGTTTTTTTCTTGGGTGGGGGTGGTGATTTTTAAATGGACAATCTGAAGCAAAAGGGTGTCTCTAACATAGACTCACATTACTTTATGAATCCCATTACTTTTAACTAAATCTACATGATTTTGTATCTGTGAGTAAAGTAAAAACAATAGAGAAGAGAATGAATGGTGTAATTAGAAAGACGTGGAGTACAGACCAAGCTTCACCACTTTCCAGCTGACAACTTTACAGGTTAGCCTTTGTAAGTCTTCCTCCTTGTGAAAGGAGAGTATTTCTCTTATTAATTAGAGAATATTTATCTAATTAATACCATTAGGTCTTACCTTTATATATGAGGTTGTTGAAACAAATGCAGTAACACACACATGTCAGGCACAGAATCAATGATCAAGAACAACAGCTCTTACAATATCCTTTGAAGTTGTCACTCAACGTGGAGATACTGGAGTAGTGAATAAACAAATTACTCTTGCAATGAGAGTGAGAATATCGTCAAAGAGGTAATGATATTTGAGACAATTGTTGAAGGATTTTGTTAGCCAATGAACTAATTAAAGATAATCAAGGGATTAATCATTGCTAGATTACAGGAATGAGAATGAATAAACTTCTGAGGAATTTTTACATGTCCTAAACTCCTGCTCATGAAGTATGATATGCATAAGTTTATCACTCTATCCAATGCCCATGTGACATGGCAAGTGGAGTCTTGAGCTGTGACATGGCATGTGGGCTCTTCCTTGAGCCATGCAAGATCTAGTTCCCTGACAAAGGATCAAACCCTGACCCTCTGCATTGGGAGCATAGTCTTAACCACTCACTCTCCGGGGATTGAAATCATGGTCTACAAAGTATGTTTAAGTATGACAGGGGCATGATACTTGGGTCCTTGGTAACTATCAAAGCTAATAAAATGTTCAGTCACTAGAAAATGAAATGCAGCTGTAAATAGCATTCATTAAATTAAACTACAAAGTAAATTTCCTCAAATGCTATTGCACTATGGGTTTATAGAAAATTATATGTACTATATAGATAGGCACACATTTTTTTGCTAAAGAAACAGTGATTTAAGTTCTAAACCATGAAAATGTTAAGTTACAATAAAAGGCCACTTTCAACTTTGCCATTTAGAGGCTCACTTATTGTTCATAACTCTTATAATTGAAGCCTTATTATGTTATCCTGCTGCACAGCGTGATTTCCTGTTATTTGTCTAATGTTTTTTAAAGAACAGTAATTTAATAACTATAGTGATATTCATCCTCGGCTCCCAACAAATGTGCTATTTCATGAAGACTGTTTATAAAACAGAGTCATAGTCAATGTATATTTCAGGCTTGTGGGCTTGCCTTTAGGTGACTGAAAACATCACAAAGCAGAAAAAAATAAATAAATAATAATAATCCCAAGACTCTGTGATGTTATTTTAAAAAAGAAAGGAACTTTAAATTTTAGGGCATTACCGTTTTATTTCTCTTGAAAGCACTTTCAGTTTATATTTGCTCCTAAGAAAATTGATTTTATTCCTTTCTCATAGAAAAGTCTGAACTGTGTATTTCAGTTCCAGGGAAACATTGTTAAGTTTTATTGTCCACACAACACAAATATCCTAGCACTATATTGCTCAACAGAAAACAAACACAATCTCTGAAACTCTAAATAACATATGCATTGTTTTGTTTCATATTATTAAAAATATGGATCAATTAGAATTTTTGTAGAGAATGTTGAGATATTTATCCATTTCAGATCTTTCAGTGGATTTGATGCATTTAAATAACCTTTTAACTTAGTGAAGAATGTATGAGAAGAGATATAAATTAATAGTTTTATATAAACCTTACCTTTACTTATATATACAACCTGAATATGAAGCCTAAGTTATAGCTAGCAGAAGCACATGTCAGAACACTAAAATGACACAATAGTTACATATTGTTCAAATGTCCTTTTTAATCCTAGGGAGCAAAAGTTCATATTTAGGGTGTGCTTTTTTCAATCACTTAATATCTTGAATAATCTAGACACTTTGTATAACCTAGGGCTGTTAGTTCCCAAGACCTCCATCTGTTAGCTCTTATATTTGCATTATGTAATTATGCAAGCAAATAATTTGTTGACAAAACTGAACAGAACGATTTGGTTAGTAGTCAAAATACGATAAAAGATATCAGAGGGAAGAGGTTGTTACCTCTTGTTGAGATAGCAAGAATGGATCTTCCTGAGAATTAAAGTTAACATGATTTATCTTACAGTTTTTGTGTATAAAAAGCACATTCTTATTATTTTAGTCAAAAAAAAAGAAACCCTAGATTTTTCTAAATACATTAAATAAGTCCTTTAAAATCATGCTGTCATTTTAGATCTTAAAAAAAGAATGAGAAATTTTATTGAAATGAATTGTTTATCCTAAAGCCAAAGGAAAAAAAATCACATTTTTAAAATACCAAAATTTCTTCTTCAATGATTAGAATTCAGACATTTCTTTATTATAGCTTATTTTAAGATTATTTTACAATTCTAGTTGACTGAATCTAACTTTGAATGAGTTTCAGAAAAGAATTCATGACATTTAGCTGAACTAAGGTAGATATTTTAAAGTTCACATTTTGAGTCTTAATATCATTCAGGAACCATTTCATTTTGCAGAGTCCAATGTGGTGGCTACAACTTCAAATCTTTTTTTTTTAAATTAGAGTATAATTGTTTTCAATGCTGTGTTAGTTTCTACCGTGTGACAGAGTGAATCAGCTGTATGTACACATCTATCCTCTCTTTTTTGGATTTCCTTCCCATTTAGGTCCACACAGAGCCTTGAGTAGAGTTCCCTGTGCTATAGAGTTGGTTCTCATTAGTTATCTGTTTTATGAAAGTGAAAGTGAAAGTCGCTCAGTACTGTCTGACTCTTTGAGACCCTATGGACTGTATATACACAGTTCATGGAATTCTCCAGGCCAGAATATTGGAGTAGGTAACTGTTCCCTTCTCCAGGGGATCTTCCCAACCCAGGGATCGAACCCAGGTCTCCTGCATTGCAGGTAGATGCTTTACTGTCTAAACCACGTGGGAAGCCCGAAAGATGATATACTGAGACTAAATCCAACATGTTGCTTTATGAGGAATCAATACTGTGACGTTACATGGCCCAAATGGGACTCTTTACCAGCTTAGCCACCAGGGAAGCCATATCTATTTCATACAAAGTATCACATCTTTTAAGATATATTTTCTCGTTTTACTTTGGATGGTTGAAGTCTTTAATTTGTCTCATTCTGTTTTTGTAAAATCTATATGCAAACTCTTTAAAGTTACGTTATTCTATCACGTGAACGCATATAACCAGGTATCAGGACGTACTCATTCAGGTCATTACTAAAGAACACGAAGCAACATTCCGATGCTTGCCAATGTGTTTTACTTTGGATGGTTGAAGTCTTTAATTTGTCTCATTCTGTTTTTGTAAAATCTATATGCAAACTCTTTAAAGTTACGTTATTCTATCACGTGAACGCATATAACCAGGTATCAGGACGTACTTATTCAGGTCATTACTAAAGAACACGAAGCAACATTCCGATGCTTGCCAATGCTCTCTCCCTTCTTGAGGAACGCTTGTTCCAGTATTACCTTTGAAGTGAGGAGCATTAGCTGGAGTTGTGGTTTCTGTGGCCTTCACTTGCTGGTAGTGACCAATAGCAGAACAAAAATCAATCTCTGTCAGGCTCGTAATTGAGCACTTCCCTAATTTATGAGACAGCTTTCCCATTAACAACAAAATCTTGAGAATTAAATAAAAACAGACCTTCACAAGTGCTGCAGCCTAGGTGAATGAGGGATAAACATTGATAAATGCGCATGCCTTGTGCAAGCCTGACTTTGAAAAATTCTGTGTCAGAGTTTCAGGTCACATTTTGACAACAATTAGGAACACTGAAATAAATAGTTGGCAATTCTTCTTTGTTATGACAGGGAATGTAAAGCCATCTTTACCACGGAAAAGCCTATTTTATGAATATGAATTGTATTACTGCGGTGCTCAACCATCTTGCTGTGACTGGGAATCTATGGGCACTTCTATTATAAACCAGAATAAAATCCTTTTGAAGATTTGAAAAGTTTGGGTAAGCTGTTTTTACTTGATTATTTGTAAAATTCCTGTGCCACTGCAATTCCATGCTTTATACGGAACACACGAGATAGCTTTAAAAAAGTTAAATGTCTAGTATTTTTAGTATGAAAAAGTTAACTATAATGCTTTGTGAAATGTTCTGGCCAAATCTAAATGACTCAAGAGTGCTGGCTAAATGCTGTCTTTAAAGTTTATTGTAATTTTATCTAACTTATAAACTTCCAGGATTGACCTTTTGGTAGTATAATCATGAGTTAATTTCTTAATTTTAAAATTATATGCATTGATATTTGAAACTGATCTAGCGAATAGAGTCTGCAACAAGAAAGAATGACATATTATAGGTTAGAAGGCTTCTCAGGTGGCACGAGTGGTGAAGAACCCATCTGCAATTGCAGGAGGTGTAAGAGACTTGAGTTTGATCTCTGGGTTGGGAAGATCCTTTGAAAAAGGCAATGGCAACCCGCTCCAGTATTCTCACCTGGAAAATCCTATGAACAGAGGAGTCAGCCAGGCTACAGTCCATAGGTTGCAAAGAGTCAGATACCACTGGAGTGACGTAGGACTCAAAACTGTCAGCCATATCATCAGAAATCTGAACAAGTTCTAATTGAATTTGAACTTGAACTTGATTTTTTGAGCTAAGTTTCCCAATCCATTTAAAAACAGAGAAGTAAACCTATATCCCATATAGTCATTAACTCTGTCTTATCCAGAATTTCTCTGAAGAAAACTAATGAAGCAAGAAACATAAACAAAATAAAAATAAAAAGCAGCTTTTAAAAATACACTTAAAAATAAAATAATTGAAAATTTTAGAAACTGAAATGTAATATACATAAACTTTAAAATTATAACCAATAATAAGTATTTACATATATATATATACACCCCCAAACATACATAGCATGTTGTGATAATTTAGATCACCTGGATTACTGTAACAGTTGTACACATCTTGCATTCAGTCATATGGGTGTTTCAGGTTGGTGAAATTGCAAGCTTAGGGAGAATGGTTCTTCTACACAGGATGATTCAAGGACCTTTCTATGGTTCTAGCACCTAATAGAGCCATGCTATCTATCCTAAAGAAGAACAGAAAAAGCATGAACGCATATCAGCATCTCATCCCTTCCTTCTACCTTCTGTTGACTTGATGCAAGTCACTAAGCCACAGCTAAGCACAAAACTAGGAAGAGGGAAACATTTGTTTCAGTATATGTGCACAACAACCAAAAGTTTCAGTTTAAATTTATACTTTACTTACTCTGAAGT